TTCTGTGCATCTTTTAAAAAACAAAACCATTTGTTTGTATATGTCCCTAATAATCTTTTAGTTGAATTTACTCAAACTATTTTTAGAAAAATGATGAAGTAGTGCTATGTTCCCCCTTATATTAATCAAATTATAAAAGCAACATTTAAAGAAAATGGAATCTGCAAAATCAATCATTCTGTGTTAGAAAATGCCAAATATTAAGATTACCCTAGCAGCATTCATTTCACAATCATCTACAGTACTTCTGGAGCCAGGAACTGCACCCAGCCATCCAAGATTCAATCTGATGCTTTAGTCTCATTCACAATCCATCATTTGATGATCCACAGCCTTTTGCTGCTTGACCTAAAAGAACTAGTCACAGCCAACTATCTGGTTTCAGCTACAGTGATAAATACAGCACACTTTGTGATTTATACATTCACTTACTAACGGTTTTGGAAACTGGAATCCTGAATGCTCTTCCTGGCAAAAGAGAGATGGTTACAGACAGTTCTCCCAAGAGGACAATTTCAGCATCTTTACTTCGCAAGATCATGATAATGTGGGTAGAATTTGGGTCTGGAGAGAAGTCAGTATTCTTGGGTCCAGCAGAATGAAACCTGGGGCTGGTATTCACTAATGAACAGAACTGCAGAATTTTGTAAAATAAGACTAGAAGAAATCAAAGGTTGAATAGTTGTACTCTCAAACTTACAATTGTATTGGAATTATTCCCAATATTTTTAGATGAACTAGCTAAATATCAGAAAATCGTTTTTATATACCTATACAAACTGCATTCTAGTGCTTAGATTTCCTACAGCGTAATGCTTTTTCTAAAGTCTAAAACTAATTATATTGATTTGACTTCTGAATATGACACTGGATGACTTACTCAGTTCTGAAGTCTGTGACATTTGCACAGTTTATTAGAATCTCAGTGGAAAATCTGTGGTTCCGATATATTACCGCTTCCCAGTTCCTAAACCAGACTTTTTCAAGGGAAGTGGTGCCTGCTGCCTCCTATCATAAGTTTCCTGCCTCATCAGACTGACAAAAATGCACAGCCTAGCTGGAGTCCCAAAAGCAAACACTCTAAGACTGCTTTTCACTGCAAAGTTAGCCACAGTTAAAACCTGGGATTTGAGACTCATCTGTGGCTCATGTGCACACAATTCTTACAACATGAGCCACCCCCCCCATCAAGCGGGGACAAGGTTGAAGGATTACTAAAGCTAATGTAACTCCTCTATAAATTGCATTATGATTAGTGTCCTCAGAATTTCCCCACTGTCCCACTGTCAGGCACATCTCCCCCCAAGAAAATAATTGATTTTCGAAGCTTTCTGAACTGGTGGATATGACATTTTTGTTTCCCTATCTATCCTCAATTACATGCCCAAAAAAGAAGACAAGGTTCTCAAACAGTTCTTTTAATTGCAACCTCTTATTCAAGCCGGGGTAACTTGTGGAGAGTAACTCATTGACAGAAAAATTCAGTGAATATATACTTTATATTGGGGAGATGTAAATAGTACGTTTTAAATTCCAACAATTTGGTCTGAATTACTTTTCACTGGAAAGGACCATTGTTCTACTAAATTTCACACATATTATATTACTCAAATATTGGAAAGACTGAAAGAAATGGTTAGAAATACGCAGCAAATAAAACAATAGTATTGAATTTTCTGAAATTTTTTCTCCGATCTCCTTTTTTGAAGTATCTGGTTTGGGGGTTTTTGTTTGCTTGTTTGTTTCCTTTTCCCTTTTAAAATTGTGTGGCTATAAGTCAATTTCAGGAAAAAAAAAATTTAACATTTGTGAAAACTAAAGAACCACATTATATGGTATGTGATTGATGTTTTGCAGTATGTTGTCCCAAAAAGAGGACAGAAAACACGGGAGAGCAGAGAGGATTGATTTGGAGGTTTTGAGGCACACAGACCCTCAGAATCACATGTATAAGATAAAGCATGCTTGCAGATATCCACTGAGCCAGTGTAGACAGGATAGAACAGGTCATTTGATAGTCTGTTAAGCTAAGAATCACCCTGGAGTCCCTCAGAAAAAGGACTGGAATCTTTTAACTACTTTGCATATTTCAATGACTATGCTGAATATTTAGCCTACTGATTAGGCTGGCAAGACAAACACAGAATACCCACATCATACGTACCACTAGCACTTTCATCTAAAAAGTTACTATTCTGAACACATTCTTGCCTCGTTTTACTACTTTATCTTTCAAATTAAATATATATACAAGTAAGGTAGTAATAGCCAACATTTTTGTCTCTGATGTATCTAATAAAAGTATTTCATTTAAAAAAATAATTAATATATTGATAGTAGCAATCAGCTAGACTAGTTACAGGAACTTGATTCAAAATTATGTAACCGTGCCAGACAGTAACTATTCCTATGAAGCAGTGTCTTTCTAACCTCTTGCCGAGGGTATTTAATTTGATGTCCAAGTTTTCTTGTCTATGGGAAAACCATTTTCCATTTTAGCTGCTAGCAATAAGTAGAAGAGAATATACTGTAAATAACTAGCAATTTTGAACTTTTGGGTCCCCACTACACACACAAGTTATCTACTCTGAAAAGGCATCATATAAACATGCCAAATTATTCAACCCTATGAAAAATGTTTTTCATCTGAATTCTAAGTTAAAACTTTTTCTGACTTTAGAGAAACTGGAACTTGAAAAGATAAAAACTTAAAGCTTGATTTTTCTTTGCCCAGAGCATATGTTATATAAACACAAATGTCCGTAAGGTGCCAAGAATTGTCCCTCTGTTTTTCTAAATGATCATGTGTGCAGTCTAGCTGAAAAGACTCATCGATTATGTCTACATAAACAACAAAAGCCCTTAGAAAAAATATCTAGATCAAAAGCCTGTCAAACACTGAACAGGAAAGAGAAATCCTGCTTTAAACATGGCCTCTTTCAAGTCTGAATTCTATCCCATGAAGTAAAAACAAAGGATTTCATAATGAAAGGTATTTAAAATTACTTTATTTTTGGAACTTAACCAGGGATTCTTTTTTCCTATATGTTAACCTTTGTCTTTCTTACATTGGGACAGAATTCTGTAAAACTTGCTGTAGGGTTTTAAAGGAATGTAGAAATTGTTATAGTCACAGTCCACTGTGTTCACAATTTACACACATTCACACATTTACAATTTTCATTAAAATGTGACAATATTTGCACTGACATTATGGGTTTCTTTTTTTGTCACCCACACAACATTATCCACTGTTAACACGGGGATGGAGCAAAGTTACTAATGGATGATATGCATTTCTTTTTTTTTTTTTTTTTTTTTTTTCTTTTCCCTCACTTTCCTAAAACACAGACACAATCAAGAAAGGGAATCACATATCCTTGCAAAAAAAAAAACCCAACAGATTACTACATAGGTTATACATAATTATGCTCTGGAAGTTATAGTCAGAAATCATAAAGTAAGCTAAAGTATAGAGTCAGTCAGATATTTCTAAAAGAAGTGAAAGAAATAAGAATCTAAGAGATATACATCTGATGAAATATAATCCTCATGTTTGATTTCCTACTCTGTTACTGAGGTTAGTATGCAAACATATGGCATGATTTACGGTATTCCATTAGTGATCTCTTTCAGATCAACTTGTGATTTGATTGTCCTCTATCTATATAAATAATAACATAAACCTAATGTAAAACAGTTGCTACATGCTTAATCATGCCACTAATGTAACTTGTAAATGTCACACACATAATCAGAACCCAGTTTTAAAGCAGTTCATACCTACTATTCCTGGAGACAACATCCTGTGTGCCAGACTTGGCTGATAGAAAATTGTCTCGGAAAACATCAATTTCCATTTGCTGGTTCAAAATGGTGTTTTTCCTCAATTTATTCACTGTAATTGAGAGCTCTACAGTATGGATCAGTACATACTAGAACATATGTACGCCACTTCTTATGATGTTCAGACAGATAGTAATTTTTGACATTCTAACCAAGAATAGATAAATGCATATCTGTCTGGCCTCTCAAACATAATGCACCCTCAGTTAATAATGATTTCTACATATGATAGCTCATTAATACTGTTCTAGGCTAACAAATTACTGACAGCTCCATGGAATCAGTGCTAGAAACTGACTTTTCATAAAACCTAGATGCTCAGGAGACAACAGGTCTGTCTTCTATCATAAAATGCCATATCAAAGCAGAAGGAGCAGCAAAGTGATCAAGAAAGTTAAAGTTACACTGGTGTACTCATCAGACCATTGTTACCCTGACACATTGAATTATAACTTGTATCAAAAACTTAATGGATCAATACAGAATATAATCTTTTACAGTAGTATTTCAAAAGATGCTCTGATACACCACTAGGTAGAAATTTGAGTTGTCCATACCTCCTATTGTCTTGCAAAAGAAGGGTCTAGTAAACCATTGAAAGCATAGTCTACTAATTTTTAAAAATTTTCCTTTTAGCAATCAAGATGCCAGTTCATCATGGAGATTTCTAATATGTTCTCTCTTGCAGTGTTTTCCACTAATCACATCCAAGTATTTCATATGGGTTTGCCTTGTATTTCATATGGATTTGCCTGGAAAACCTTTAACTGCTTTTGCTAGGCTTACTCCACATTTTTGGCGTGTACAAAGAATTATCTCTGGAAAGAAGTTAATGAAACAGATCCAGCTTCAATAATTTTTCAAGGAACAAAGGTTGTAAAATTGTTTTCTACTGGAATGTTGAACTTATCAGAAGATCACACACTCAAGCCAATAGCATTTGTCTTTGCTGTCATACAAAAGAGAATGAGTCACCTACAGTATAACAGAATCGTTTTGCAAATCTTTTAGAACTGTGTGGCATCTGATTAAACTAATCCACATCTTTCCATGACGCCAAAATAAACAGTCCCTTTCCCACAATGTATAAACATTGTTCCCATAACTTCCCTTTGAAATGTCATGAAAAGGTTAAGTGACGTTTCATTATTTACCTTGACTAATGAATTGCTCCATGCTGTCTTTGAAAGGCTGGAGGTGCTCTTCTAGTGATAGCTGATAAACTTTTGCTGCTTCTGTCTCACATACTGAAATAAAATAACAGATTAGTTTAGGATGACACATCATAGTATGAACCTGCATACTGTAATAAAAGACACAGTGAAACTGCTGGAATATGTGCTTCAAACACACTACTTCAAGTACAAACTATGATAGTATATTCAGGAACAGTTATGCTCCTGGTCAATTATTTTTTACCAAAATATACAGATAACTTGTGGGCAGTGTGTTAGTTTAAATGGTAGCAAAATAGTAGCAAAAATTAACAAAATATGAAATTGTTTTGAAGGAGAAAGATACATTTAAGGGGTTGAAATGTATGGGAAGAAAATTACAAGCACAGATCCCCAGGCTGTGTTGATACCTGGCCCTAGGTGAGAGTACTTGAATCAAAACAATGTTCAGGTGCAAAACCTGCACCAAATAGTATAAAGGACCTTACCTCAGCAAATAAAAGCAGATAAGGGCTTGATACTTGCTAAAACCACAGAGGCAGTCAAGTGTCTTGCATTATTCAAAAGTAATAGTGCAAAAAGATTTTGGCAAAAGCCTGCACAAGCCCTGACACAGATTATTCATTTCTGAGGTGGTACCAGAGTGTTTCCAACTATCCAACCTTATTTAGTTTGGGGGAACATAAGACTTGACATTACTATTTCAGGAGAATATTAAGCTCCGATTTCTATTGTAGGGGAAATTACTTTAGGCTGTGATAGGTTCATATAATTCAACAAAAATAAACACATTGAAAAAAAATATAAATTCTTGTTTACTCTCCAAAGCTTCTTTCAGTGAAACAGGATTATTACTAATCTTTATACAGAAGAGTGTTTAGATGTTTAAAAATTACTTGCAGCAGAAGATACTATTGTAATTACTTCTTTTGAATAATGTCTAGAATTGCATCATCTTGTTCTTACTTCAGCAAGCACAAATTTATGATCTGGTAAATAATGTCAGTCTTTAGTTTACAGCATGAAACTAACAATATATTAAAAAAAGTACAGTACAGCAATTAAAGATAACATAATTAAAGATAAAAATCCAAAGGTTCATTAATTTTGGCAAACGCTCATCAACCAACTCTCTGCAGATCTGTACCTACCCACAAATCTTTGGAGAATGAAGCTTTAGATTTCATAGATACTGGTTAATAATTTTTCTCATAGTTGTGAAGATACCAAAGACAATTAGAAATATCAGTTTTTTTAAAGGCACATATACAGAAAAGCAGACTGACTTGAATAATTAGTAACTCCACACAAGAGTAGTAAAGCCTGAGTAATAATAACAATTGTGGGTTTAAATTTTTTGTTTTGGTAATTATTGTATTTTAAGCTTAAAGTAAAATAGAAATAAATGCGCTTTCATTTTTAGGGGAGAAAATGAATATGCATATCTTTAAGTAAACAGGTAACCCTGCTTATGAAGTAATATTTAAAACAAACCAAACTAAACCCCACAAACAAAACCAATCCCCCCAGTGAAATACAGACCCATGGATAGGTCTGTAATTTTTAAATAGATGTTAACCAACACATGTGAAATAGCAGAGGGGATCCAAAAGGCCATGACTTTTCCTGCAGTATATGACAGACACAAAGACAGAGAAGCTATGTACTACTCTGCGATGCTCTATTTTGCAAAGAAAGACATTTTGCTGACAACATACAATATTTCTATTACTCTTCTATTCAGAAGCAAGTGGCAGAGCTGAAAGATGCTATAGAACCTACCATAACATTTAATGTCAACAAATTTCTGTACCTTTTTCCAGAATATATATTACATATTCCTCACAGAAATGCAGCATTGTTGGATTGAAGTCTGCAGTTTGCAGCGAACTCACTCCTGATCTCTCAGCTGATTTGAGAGAAGTATAGACCTTATGACAATATATACCCACCAAAAATCTTAGCCTATACCCATGCCAATAGCATGAGGCAGTCTCTTTTCAAAGTGTGTATGGAAATGCAGGGACAAACCATTCTTTATATTCTGTATTCTATACTATTCTTTATATTCAACTTTCTAAGGACAAGAAAAACATGTAATATTCTTAGAACAAAATGTCTGTACTTCAAGCATTCAGATTCTTGAAGATACTGAATAAATCTTTTTATCAGAATAGCATTTAATAACTTCAAAGCAATGTGGAGGTGGAACAACAACAAAAAATCTGTATATGAGAATACCTGCAGTATCTTCTGTATTTCATTTTTTCCCTCAGTTGAATACTCAGACAAATATAACTCCATGAAATAACGCAGCTAAACATCCCATATATCAAGGGAGCAGGCTGGCTAAGTGGATCTGCTGTGATAAGTTTGTTAAAGTTTTGCTGATTGTCCTCAAACCAGGAAACTGATACACGTTTATCTCTTTTTTTTGACAACAGACTCAAGACTGGTACTGCTATCATCCCTATTCTTACAGGTTCAGTTGTTCATGTATCTTGGGAGATGTGTACACAACTGAAAAACTTAGACAAAGCTAGGATATTACTAAGCTCAGTTTACTTTAAGCAGATATTAAATTTTCTTATAATGAAAGAACTAAAAGATATTCAAGGCACCGCAAATAAGAGTCATGTAGACAGTCACAAAAGGTGAGCTAGGTAGAACATGGATTGCCCAAACACAAATAGATATTATTCGTATTGCTTTGCAGCAAGGTGAAAGTTTCAATTCCGTGCAGTCCCAAATACGCAGTATTCATGCACTGATCTTCCAAAGACTTCAAATCCTAAGCAGAAGTTGGCTGGGCAGACACACGTCTTTTCCAACCCTCTAAATCAATTCTAACATATGAGCAATATCTCAACAATGGAAAAGATCAACAGGACATCTGATTTTGTCTTCTCTCTAACATCATATGCTGCAGAGGACTGTATGTGACTTTCCAGAGATACAATACAAATGGTTTCTTGTAGGAGGAACTTCTAAATTTTTGGCAAATCAAACTGGTATCTTTTTGCCCAGACATACAGAAATTTCTCAAATGCTCCTGATCAGAAAATTGATGTGAAAATCTGTGTTCAAAAACTGTTTAGAAATTTAAAAAATTGCAATTCTAGCTGTATCCAGTATTTCAAGAATTTTGTGTCATTCTCTATTTCCATGTTAGAATACAATTAATTGCCATTTTGCAAGTTACTGTGTTAGCTTGCTCATCTTTATTTATTTCTTTTAAATTTAGGTCAATAGACTAAAATGGCAAACAGTTTCACAACAGCCAATATTGATTAAAATACAACCATATAAAAAGGTAAAAGACGACTCACGAAATTCACAAAACACCCTGTGTATTGTACTAACACTTTAAGTAAACAATTCTGGTAAGTGATCTAAAATGCACCCAGTTTCAGTATCAAAAATAGTTGCCTTTTTGAAAAGGAGAAAAAAAAATTTCAAGAATCAGAATATTTTTTTAATGCATATTTTCCATCTAGTTCTGTTGGTTACTAAATTTTAGCCCCAGGAAGTACAAATTATAAAGTACTAATCATAAAATACGCCTTTTTGAACAAAGTGTGTGAGTACATGATTCAGCTGCTTCTCGACTTCACTGTATTGTCTTTGGTCAGGATAATAATCAGCAGCATGATTTTTCTTTCAACACCACCAAAACATTAAAAAACACTAACAACAGATCACAAAAAAATCCCAACCAACCAAACACAACAAAACAGAGAGAGCAAGCAGAACTGTTAATTATCTTGAGTGCATAATTAACAGATCCATTAGAGGGTTTTGGTTAACCACTTCTGAAACAACATACTTATCTATAGAAGTCCTATATCATTTAGATGGATTTTGAAAACTGTTTAGGATACTTGATATCTTAAAGATATTGTTTAAGATACTTTGATAGACTATTTGTTTTTAAGTCTTTAAGGAAGTTTTGAAATTATGTCCTTAATTTTCAGAGGCTCTGACTACTCAGACTCTCACAGGAGATGTGCCCATGTCTTAAAACTATATGACAACATAACCACTGTTTTCACAACATCCTCAGTGCTTTTTAGACTCCTTACAGCTACAACCTGTGACTTTAAAACTTAGACTTGACCAAAAGGCAACAATGCTGGCCTCATCAAAAGACAAACTCTGATGAACTTGGCCACAAGTACAGAAAGAGCTCTTAATTTTCTTTTCTTTATTTTTTTGGAATTGTAAAGACTTAGACTAAGAACTGCTGAGTATTCAAGGGCTTCCATAGACAGCTCCTTGTTTGGAGTTTCAAGGACAGTAAAATATGACTCACAGATTGACTGAAAGCCTGGCTTTAGTTTACATCTGGTTTAGGTTTAGGAGTCTGCATGCTGCATAACTGCGGCAATTAACCCTTTTGGAGACAGCTGAAAAAACAGCTAGAATTTTCGGATGCACAGCTGTTAATGAGTAGGCAAAAGTAAAGATTTAGTTTGGTTAAAACAGTAGCTGCTTCTGTGAAAGTAGACTGCACAGAAAACTCCTGTAGGATTGACCTGAACCACAAATCTTACTATATTATTTTGTTAAAAATTACCTAGAGAGATTTGGCATTTTATTAGAAAAGACTGAAGGAATTTTAAAATCAGAATATGGATCTATGGATCACAGAAGAAAAATATCTATTTCTTTATTGCGAAAAATCTCCACTCCTATTAATATCAAAACTATTGACAGAGAATAACAGAAACACAGACACTTCAAAGTATCTTAAAACAGAAAGTTTTTGATGAGGCAACAAATTCAAATTCTCCAAGAATACATTTTTTCCTCCATTTCAGTGTTCTCTCCTCCAGTTCCCTGCTGCCTTCTCTTCAAGCAGCTTGGAATACCAGTGTAGAAGCACATTAAAAAAAAAAAATATCTTTTTTTTGGGAAACCTCTTAGGATGGACTTCATAAAACCTTAGCTTTTTAAAAGACGGACCACCAGAGAAGACATAAGACATTTCCTTAGCACTCAATTTTAGTAGGGGACAATCAATTTTAGGAGAGTAATCCTTTCCTTTTCTGTCTTCCACAGTGTGATCCCAAATGGCTTTACTTTAATAATCAAAGTTGAAATTAATACGGCTCCTGTTCCTGATCAAGAACTGGCAAAAACTTAGCTCCATAATCAGAACTGTGATTGAAACAGAGTGACTTGTGAATACAAAAACAGGCTATGTGTGTGAGAGAGGAGGTGAGACAAAAAAAATACAATAGTGTTTGGGTTTTTTCTATTATTTTAACCTGCAAACTTTAATACTACCTATGAAAGAAGTAACAGCGAATGCAATCTTATTTTGTAAAGTAATTCATGCACCCCAGACATAGGGTTGGCCAAAAAAAGCAAAATTCCACCCCAAACTACAGCACAACTGCCCTCTCTGGCTTGGACCCTCTTTCAAGGTGTTAGTGGTAATCATTACTGAGGAAAGAGGAATGAAAATCTAACTAGTCTAAAGATAACTGTGTGAGAAAGAAATAGTAGGGGGTCAAAGCATAACACACCTACTACTATCCCATCTCCCTCAGTCCCACATTGACACTGCCCCAAATGTCTTTCTATTGCACAATACGGTACTTCCAATCCTCCGATTTACACAGCAGCTATTAAAACCTGAGAGCACATACCAGCTCTACAACTAGCAGATCCAAGCTGAATGGGTAATTCTAGGTGACTGTAAGGACAGAAGAAAAATTGGAACGTAGATTTTTCCAAGTTACTGCGGGGCTTTTCTTGAAACACACTTTTAAAAATACAAAGTGTTCTACAAATGTTTAACATTTTATAAACATTTTTAGTCACATTTATTCCAAATCAGAGAGATGTACGGGCTGCTCAGCTGAGTTTCCTATTGATGGAGACTTTTCAATGAGTTGAAAGCACTCACATTAAGAAAACAAAGCATCACTAATCAACCCAATATTTAATTATCATAATTATTACTTCCAACCAGTTTTCAAAGAAATTAAATATGACGATATTTTGACAAATAAACAAGTACTGACTTCAATGTGATTTTACAGCATTCTGCATAATATGGTATTATTCATCTCTTCAAAATTCTACCAGTCAGATTTATTTTCTGCCTGACATTTTTTCTAATTCCTTTTTAGCTAAGCCTCAGTGAAAGTTATGCAATATGTGACAACTGATTAATTAGTTTTTGATTTGCAAGAACAAACTTACTATTGTAAAGCTAAAATGTTAACACGTAGCCAAAGAACAGCTTCTAAACAATTTTAGGTTCCCAGAAGTGCTTCATAAATACTGTATCTCTCACTGCCATTTTAGTGTCCCAGTTCTCTCCTAAACTAAATACATCTTGAAGAATTTCCTGGACCACAAATCCAACATTTTCCTAAATGACAACTGTACCTCCAAAGACCGTCAGAGAGGAGAGTTAATTAAACATTAATTGATTCAACACAGGTTTTCCACATCTTTCTGCCCCACCTCAAGCATTTTGAAGTGTCTGGAAAAATATACTGATAATAATAGATATACAACATGGGTCCTAATCAGCAAGAGACATGCAGTGCTCCTGTGACCCTGGATGCCCAATTTTCTTTACATGGTGAGTTGATTTAAGTCATGTGGCAAGTACTAAAGTTTCTTCTGTGGAATGACACAGGAACAGAAGTCATTGCTTGGCATGACTGCATCAAGGAACATTGCTGACAGCCAGGAGAGATCAAAAGCAGATCAAGTTGCTTAACAAACTATATGTCACTGAAGTAAAAAAGGCTAAAGTGAGAATCCTGGAGAACTGTGAAATCTGGGAGCAACAGATGGAGTCAAACTCAGTGTGTTAGTAAAAGGATCTACCTGTTCTTCAGTCCTCATCTTCAAAAAAATCTAGTATATAGACTTTATCTCTCGGGTCCTTCCATGTTTAGTGCAGCTTCCACTATACTCTTAGGGTACATTTTATTTTTCAATTAAAAAAAACAAACGTAAATGTCTCTCTTATTAATATTGGAACAGGCACACAGTATGCCTTCTGAAAATCTTTTGGACTTAGACTTTTAATCTAAAATATTAGAAGAGACTAAGTTTTCTAACGTTTGAAAACAGTGAGGCATAAAGTTCATAAAAACACAAAAGTGGACAAGAACCTCCACAGTCAAGAGGAAAGAAAACACAGGAATTTGAACATCGTGAGAGCTTTTTTTATGTAAAGCAATCAGCATCTTACCCTCTTACTACCATAAGCCCAAAGTTAGATCTGTGAAAGAGCATGACAGAAAAATAATTTTACAGAACCATAAAGATTATTCATATCTGCTTGTCTCTGTGTATGCTACTGACATATTTAGATAGAAAAATACAGCATTGCTAGAATTAACTGCTATTGTTATGGTTACAAAATATTATTTTCCTTCTCTTCTTTTTACCTCTTTTTTTCTTTTTTCTATTTTTTTGATTTTGTTGGAGTTTTTTTAAGCGTCCCCATAATGTTATGAAAGAATCTTTCTGGGATTAAGTTTACCTTTGAATAATCACGGGAGGTTTCTGAAGACAGAAATAAGACATCTTCAGAAGCTTTTGGTCCTGGGTGAAACAATACCCACTTTCCCCACTGCATTAAGTGTATCTCTGTGCATGGTTTGTAGGGTATTTGAAACTAACATGGACAGAATACTTTTAAAGTGGTGGAACTGCCTACATCAACATAATGTGCAACTTTCGGTTTTTCAGTGATAAAGAATAAAGCAAACACCACCCCCACCTCCGCGCCCGTAATGGTGAAATCCTGTCATGAAATGTTCCATGTAATTACTGATGAAAATAGGTTCAAGGTTACATTTGTCATCTCTGTATAAAACTGGAATGCCTTCATGGGCATCTATTTCTATGGCCTTAAAGTTTGTGATAATCAGTTTTTCCCAGTAATACTAAGTACGCATTTTACTCATTTAGGATTTTGTCAGAATTTGCTCAGTATCTTAAAGCCTTCTTGCTTCAATGAGGCTCTTGCTAGCTCTCATAACTCATAAGGTTACAGATGCACATTAGCAAACTTATTAGTGTAATTGAACTAAATTACAGAAAAAAACACTCTAAAATAATTTTATGCATTCATCTAAAACTTGTATTCTGTTTTGAAAAGGCTGCCATTAAACTTGGTTACTCTGTCTTGCTGAAAGCTCTTGCTTTCACAACATTCCTTAACACAAATTATTTTGAATTTAGTTTTGAATTACTTCTCTCTTTAGAAGAGAAAGCCAATAAAAAGCACTTGGCATCACTCAGGGTTGATAACAAAGTAATGAGTGAGACTGCAGACTGATACTAAAATTGTAAGTTCATATGCACAAGATGATGAAGAAGGGGGCTGAAGCTGTTCCCCAAAAACTTGGTACCAAAGGGAATGGAGAAAGAGTGACAGAGACTGCAGTTATTCTTCAGTTTCATTAACTACAGAAGAGACAGCCAAGAGAGACGCCAGCCTAAGGGCTGGACTGGAAGCACAGAAAGAATTCAAACGCAGTCTGATGGCAGAGCAAAGCGTGTAATTTCAATTTTTACAGAATCCTGCTTTGATCACTGCACACTGTGGATTTATTCCATGAGAGATTTATGCCTGTGTGCAAATTTTAACCTTCATCTAAAAAGACTTAACCTTTTGTCTACATAAACACATTTTTGGTGAATTTGTGAGGGATAATGTCTGCCCCCATGGACATTTGTAAACATGCACCTGAACTGAAGTATCTTTTTTCATTCAAACTTAAACATCTTTTTTCTCTATGTGCAAACCTGGGGATCAGCCCACAGGTATTCTTAAAGTAACAAGAAATATAGAAATAAGTTTTCACAGCTGAACTGTTGGATTTTGTCCCCTATGTGGTTCAGGACAGCAAATGGATGTTGCTGCAGTTTGCTCCTCAGTATCACTCTACTTGACCTTGATACAACTTTAAATATTACCTTGAAACATATATATATATATATATTTGAAACATCCAAAACAAAAGCATAATAGAGGCAAGGAAGGAAAATCAGATATAATTTGGTAACCACGTTATGTTTTTCTTTTAGCATAGAACCTAGGCTGTTCAGAGACTAATGGTTTACCAAACCGTTCCTTGGTCTCTAGATGCAGGGCATTATAAACCAGCAAGGCAACAGAAGTATAAAGATCATGTCACTGCTTGACTTGAATTCTTCTCTCCATGATTCAGCATGATGGTACATACCTGGCCAGTCAACAGGGACTTTTATCAAAAATATTGAAGGTCATGGATATTTGCCATCATTTCTGCAAAAGGTACTTTTGCTTAGCTTAAACTTAGTCCTTAGTATCCAATGTCATTTAAAAATATTAAAGTCTAGCAAATGCATCTTATTTTAAGCTTTTTGAGTTCATTTAAAGAACTCATTCCACAAACATGAAAAAAAACACTTCCCTTGCATATTATGTTTTAGTAAAGTCAGGTTATTTCAATTGTTTTTAACATGCCATGTAAATTATCTGCTACATACTGTTATGACCTGATTATCAACCTTATTTTGTCATGGACATGGTCCAACACTTTGCAGTTCTTTTTGTGGTGACAGACATGCTGAAAATAGTTTTCCAAAAAGAAAAAAAAATCTTTTTTTTTGTTTGTTTTAAGCAAAAGACTTAACCTAAATGGTTTGATATCGTTTATTTTAATAACCTTTTCCAGGTTATCTACAGAAAATAATTAAATTCTGTTTAAACTATCATGAAAAAGCAAATGAAGAAGAAACTATAACTGAGTCAAAAATACATAACTATTTTAACACTATCATCTAATTTCTCAAAAAGATACAGAAAATAAGAGCAGAGTTGTGGTTGTAAACTATAGTTAGCACCTAATCTAGGTTCAGTACCTCGCAAATCTTTCTTCATTTTGCGGAGATCTTTTTGACAGTCTTCAAACTTCATTTGCGAAGCCTGGAAGAGATCTTGTGGGTCTGGAAGAGGAAATATGCATTGTTCCTTTCCAGCATCCTGACAAAAACACAAATGAGCAGTTACATAATCATCATTACTTTTTTATACACTAATATAAATAACTGAAAGCACAAAGAATATTTGTCCACATTTCCTTACCTTGGTCAGCAGAAGAGTGAATTTAGTAAGTTGATTTTTTTTAAACTTAATTATAGAAGAACAAAATAAATTCCCACTCACCTCATCAAAATTACGCAAATAGTATGAGACAATGTAAGACAGAAGACTTCTGCTGTTGTCCTGTATAGAAGAGAATAAGGTTTGCTGTGTTACTGAAACTCCGTGAAAAAAACCAACAAATTCAGAAATTATAATTTAAGTAAATATTTAGTGTAAAGTACAGAAAATACTTTGCTGATTTGGTGTGTTCACTAAAAAAAATAATCACCCTGAAGTTCCATTTAAAAATATGTTGTAAGATGTAAGCTACTCTTGCTTTTTTAAAATTAACCTAACGTTAAACTGAATCCTTAAATTTTGAAATTACCCAAGAAAGAAGAGAGAATTTTTTTCTGGGTTGATGTATTCAACCTGTTTGGCAATATTCAGACCTTTTTATTAATCTATAACTATAACCAAAGTGAAGTTAAATTAAAGAAAATTATTTTCCTAAATGAAATTTTGACCCTTTTGGGGGTCTTAGACAGAACTTTCTCATTGTTTCACCTCCATAATTTCTGTAACGAAACATCAGCAGAAAATCTTTTATTTGAAGAGGATTTTTCACAGAATTAAGTTTTCAGGTAGTTTCAGAAATCTATTTCTTAAAATTTTTCTTCTGACTGATCAGCAGATATGATCTGCAGATATGATGAAGCAAATATGTATCTTTCAGCAAATTATGTACTAAAGACCTAAGTCACCAAACCAAATTTAGTGTGCTTCCATGTTCTACGGAACAAGTTCTAAAACTGGTGATGTATCTAGAGTCAGCGAGAAGGTGCAGTTAAAATAAGCTGCTCTAAGCACATTGTACCAAGGCTTAATTCATACAATTACTCCATTAGCTAAATACGCATGCCAGAATGAAGTTCCTTCAGCTCTTCAAAGGCAAATAGCTGACATGGTCTCTCAACTCAGGATAGACATCAGACAGCTCACCTTATCTAACCCAGTAGCTAAAGCATGTATTTAAGTGAGTGACCAAGCAGGAAGAGAAACTATTCTTTTTCTGACAATTCCAGAATAGCAGATCGTCACTAAATAGATGTAGGGCCCAATTTGAATTGTCAAGAATTATTGTTAATAACCTTTCTCATATCACTGTCCACATTCAGATGAATCTTTTCATCATAGCCATAGGGACTGAAAGACTATTGTTTTCCTATAAACAAAAGGAGAATACAACTCCAATCAGAATAACCAATGCCAACAAAAGTGTTGGTAAGACAAACTCATTTAGCACTGTGAACGAAACAAGACTATACATCATTCTCCTTACTCAAATGACTATGCCAGAGAAATCTTAAATCAACAAGATTACTCTTTACTCAGATGGTTCCGTGGTCCAAGGAGAAATGCACACTCTGGAATCATGATCTATGTAAAGGTTTAATTTTAGGTTATCCTAAATGCTCAGGATGCCTATTCAATCATTTTCAGGAGTGACTTGTTTTTTCTCCCCTCACAAATATTTTCCATCAGCTTTGAATCACAGCTAACTATGCTGCCTCCACTTCTGTAACAAAGCTTTTAAGTGTAAAGGATTACTTCTGAATACAGGAAAAGCTGGAACTTTGCAGAGTACCAAAAGTCAAATACATACTAGAATAGGAACTAAGACATAATTTAACATATTTTTGTTTGTACAGTAATGAAAAGAGACCATTCATTTTCATATTTTTACATAAATACATCTAACTCTACAAGTGTAATCAGCTAAGTATAGTGACACAAGAATTCCCTTATACATGCCTTCCTAAGTTTTACACCGTTTACTTGGAAAACATTCTCAGGCCTTCAGAAAGTCTAGAATCCACTTACACTGCTTTTGACATCTTTCAGTTTTGGCAGGATATCTAGTCCAAACCCATCGGCCTGTCCTCGTGTCCTGTTTCCACCATTCATGTAATTTCCAAAGGCAAGAACCAAACCCAGAACCTGCATAACTCCTGACCCATTTTTCAATGTCTACAAATCAGAAAGAGAAGCAATTTTCTTTTTAAACACAAAATAATATTTACTGTTAGCAATATTACTAACAAATGCCATGTTGATACTGTGCTTAGAAATAACACTTGTATAATGGCTTCAGTGTAGGAAACTTAACAACTTTCTACTGCAACATATGGAAGTAGAATAACATGACTATGTAATTTGTTGTGAATGGAGAATGTTATCTCCAAAATGAACACTTAGAAAAAAATAATAGGAAATCTATACAGTGTTATCAGAGATTACCTGTTGAGGAAAATATAATTGTAGTTCCTTAACTGATGTTGATATGGTGAATGTTGTATTTCATGTAAGAGATAATTTTGCAATAAATTCAAAACAAATCCACATGGAACAATTACTGAGTTGCACACTTCCAATATTAAAGCAAGCACAAGGTGAACTAAACTGGCATTCATGTAAAAAGGAGTGATAAATTCATTATGAAGAGGGAAGATTTTGCTTTAACAAAATGAAAAGGTACACTATTTTCCAGAGACTGATAAGCATTGATGGCAAAAATATGATATAGTTCAGTACCACGAAGCTAATCTTTAAGTTTGCTTTGATGTTGAAGTACAAGCATAAAACGTTCTATTCTGCTATCCTTCAGATTTAATGAGTACTTAAAGTAAATAGAGAAAACTTTTGAAATATGAGCACAACTTAACTAGATTAAATAACAGAAATTTAGTCCTGCTTTTTCACAGAGCACAATGTACCTCACATAGTTTCTGTAACAATTCAAGTTTGCGACGGATTGAACCAATGCTTTCTGAAAACGTTGATTGGAACAGGATGCAAAATACACGTTCTGAGAAGTTGGGAATTAGGGAGAGTTCATAGAGGAACCTGTGGGAATGATTAAATAAAATTATAAAGGTCACTTTCAGTAGGCACAGTATTATTTTTTTTTTTCTTTTATAACATCTCTAGATAGTTTTTTATAGCAGGGAATCTTATCCACAGCGAGCCAAACTGTTCTTTCATAAGTATGTTCTTACTGTTCCGGCTTATCCAAAGACTTGGCGTTCTCTTTTTCCTTGGATGCCTTGCTATGCTTTTCTATTTTCTCTAATTCATCTGATTGTGCTCGCTGGAATAAAGAAAAGAAAGTAATCATTAAGTATTAATTAATAACCTAGTCAACCAACACAGATAAAGATGCCCTTGTAAAAAATTATGTTCATAGATTTTTCTTTTCATTCTAGCATCTGCTTATGGTAAAACTACTTAGTCCGTAGAGTGATTTTAAGTATAAATGCATCTGTTGGAAACCAGATATTCTTCAAAGTAATATTATTGACTAATAGTAATCTGCAAAAACTTACTTATTCAGCTATACACTGAGAAAAAAAATCTTCATTCCCACTTTCTTTTCTTTGGACATGTATAAAGTCTTTGGATCAGCTCTGTTCTTGAGTTGTATTTCTCTCTCTTAATCTGTTGAGTGGCATTTGAACGCAATCTGATCTTTAAATATATACTTAAATAATGTATTTTTTAAAAATAACTAAAATGGGCTTGTATTGTCTACTGCAATTTAAATTTTACTTGGTATTTGGAAAACACAATGGAACAACAAAAAATACTTGATTGACCGTGGAACTACCATACATACCATAATACATGAGTACTACTGTATACTTCTTTGTAGTAAAATTACTTTCATTTTTATCTTAATAAGACAAAACAATTACATGTAAACTGCCTAGTTTCTTGGAGAAACTTATGGTTCATTGTGTGGTCTCTTCTTTAATATTCTAATAAAAAAAAACAGGACCTCCATTCTTTCTGTGCTCTATGCTACAGAGAAATTCTTTTTTCCAGCTGCAGCACTGGTAAATGGAATTGCATAGAAAGGAATAAAACTGAAATGGAAATTTCTCCTTCTGACCCTTCTTTTGACATTCCCAGGGTTGTTATTTTTTAATAGATTTAAAATGTGAATCTGTGCAAGAGTGAAAAAATAAGTAAGTATATCTACCTTCATTCCTTTAAGAAAACAATACATGCATCTTTTAACTTCACCATAGAACTTGAAAACAAGTGGAAAATTAAATACTAACTACTTGAAATACTGTCAAAGCAGAAGATAGGTTGCATCTGCAGCCTTTCTTGCATGCTTTTGCATGAGTAGCAGAAGAAGTATGGAACTATTTCAAATCGTAAAGCCTCAGCTCCATCAGCAATCTAAAAACAGAAGGTCAGGTTTGGACAGGTCTTCTGAGGTTAACATCTTTTCATGTGAAAAAGAAGAAAATTTTGATGTGAGAGACATGAAGAAATTGAAAAGTCACTTAGAGCAAAAGCACTTCAGAGTTTCTTTGATTACTTCATGAAGTCTGGAAATGACTGCAAGGCCCTCTGTCTTTAATACTACACATCCTAATATTTAGCCAGCATTTCTGTGGATGTTCTTCAAGAGACATCTTCTCCAAAGTAGTCTGATCATATCTATGAAATACTTCAACAGATATGATGTATTGCAAATAACTTTTTTTTTTTCCTAGCAATAAACTTTTTTCTCAACACGAAGAAATTATAATGGTGATGGTATCTGTATCTTGACCTTAGCAAGGCTTTTGATAGAGTCTCCCACAACATCCTTGTGTACAAGCTCAGAATATGCGGGATAAAAGAATGGATAGTGAGATGGATTAAGAACTGGCAACACAACAGAACCCAAAGAGTAGTGGTCAATGGTGCAGAGCCCAGCCAGAGACCTGTAACTAGCGGAGTCCCTCAGGGATCAGTGCTGAGTCCAGTCCTGTTCAACATCTTTATCAATGACCTTGATGACGGGACAGGGTATATCCTCAGTAAGTTTGCTGATGACACAAAGCTGGGAGGATTGGCTGCTTCACCTGAAGGCTGTGCAGCCATTCAGCAAAATGTGGACAGGTTGGAGAGCTGGGCAAAGAGGAACCTAATGAGATTAAACAAGAGCAAATGCAGAGTCCCGCACCTGGGAAGGAACAACAAAACACACCAGTACAGGCTAGGAGGTGATCTGCAAGATAGCTCTGTGAAGAGGGACCTTGGAGTCCTGGTCAAAAACAAGTTATCCATGGGACAACAATGTGCTCTTGTGGCCAAGAAGGCCAATGGTATCTTGGGGTGCATTAAGAAGAGTGTCTCCAGCAGATCAGGGAGGTTCTTCTCCCTCTCTGCTCGGCCCTAGTGAGACCTCACTTGGAGTACTGTGTCCAGTTCTGGGCTCCCAAGTTCAAGAGAAACAGGGATCTACTTGAGAGAGTCCAATGGAGGGCTACAAGGATGATTGATTAAAGGACTGTAACACCTGCCTTATGAGGAAAGGCTAAGAGACCTGGGGCTTTTAAGTTTAGAGAGGAGAAGACTGAGGATGGATCTAATTAATGCCTATAAATACATGAGGGCTAGGTGTCAAAAAGGCAGAGACAAGCTCTTTTCACTTGTGCCCTGTGATAGGACAAGGGGCAATGGACCCAAACTCGAGCATAGGAAGTTCCACCTCAACATGAGGAAGATCTTGGTTGCTGTGAGGCTTACAGAGCACTGGAATAGGCTCCCCAGAAAGGTTGTGGAGTCTCCTTCTCTGGAGACCTTCAAGACCTGTCTTGATGCCTTTCTGAGTGAACTGCCCTAGTTAGCAGTGGGGTTTTTTTGGTCCTGCTCTGGCAGGGGTGTTGGACTCTATGACCATTGGAGGTCCCTTCCAATCAACCCCTAATATTCTGTGATTTCTGACCAATGACTAAAGCATATTCTCTTCTTTTAAACTGAAAGGAAATAACTTGAAATTTTTTCAGAATAGTTAGAGGAGAAAATATTTCAGCAAGGAGCACAAAGATAAATGGTTATTTGCCAATTCCTTTGCATAGTGAGAGTACTCTCTCTTGTGGTCTTCTGCACATAATGAAGCATTTGAATGCTTATCACAGCAATCTATTTTATACATGCATGTTCAAACTATTAATGTTTCTTCTCCAAATCCCATAGGCAAAGGTTAGGCAGATTTATGATTCCTTATTTAAGCCATTATTCTCAGATCGTGTATGCAAAGAAAAAAATTTGGCAAAGATATAACGGCTAAGCCTGAACAAGACTCTAGAGATATGGCTTACACTCTTCACCAAACCCAAGAGCTCCAAGTATATGGTGCAAATTCAGAATCACACCTGAGTTTCAGGTTGCTAATTTTGGCTCCAGCATCCAGAATTTTGATTAATGTATATTTTAAATTACAAAAGAAAAATAAGGCTGACACAAATTCTGCATGAGTATTACTAAAGATTATTTCTCAGTATTATTGCCAGTTAGATTTAGAGTTAATGGTGTTCTATTCTCTACTTTGCAGATGGATAATAAGAAAAATTAGTCATTAATCTGATTGCATTAGCACCTCTTTGAAAGTCACTGTTACTTCCTTGAATTTTAAATATTATACAGCATCACAAATGGAATAGTATAATATACTAAAATTCATATTAACTATAACTAAAATCTGACAGCATAAATCTGACAGAAATTACTGCAAAAAAATTACGCTGCTTTAGTTTAACTTTTTGCACTTTTGCCAGAATATAAACTTACAAACTTTGTTAAAAATCATATAACGAGTAAGGGCCATTTTTCCATTTCATGACATAAATCTTCCATTTCCTGGTTATTTTCCTCCTTGCAACAGGACCTTAGATCTGAGTTTAGATCTGTTTAAATATGTGTATTTTTTTTAATTTTTGGATGGATTTTTTTTCTCAGCCTAATTTCATAGTTAGTGTTGAAGTATTTGAAAAGTGTCAAGTGACTTGTCTAAAGAAGATTGTCAAAAGTATCTGAAACAACAAGGATATATAGAGATACCCAGGTTAATAACAATTATCATACTCCTTTGAAGCTGGGTCATGTATCAGAAGTCAGGTACAATCTACAGTCTTTACAGATAAATGTAAAGACATCACATTCTAATTGCCAGATTTTAAAAAATCACAAGAAATAATTGAGGTGAAGGTTTGAATATTATTGGCAGAGTTGAAGCATGTACTTCAGACTCCTGTGTACCTTTTGCTTTTGCAAATGGCATTTTGAGCTTTTTGAAAGCATTGACCTAAGCCCTTTAAAGACAGAGACAGGGTGGACAATTTACCAGGAGTCAAATAAAGAAAGCATATACATCTCATTTTGTGATATATAGAGATCTGAAAAGGACAAATCCATAGATCAAAGATAATATTTTGATACAATTTTTACATTTTTTATGCATTATTTTCACAACATAGTGAAGACATAAGCAGGAGCAGGCTTGCTCCAGACAGTGATATTTTAGCTACAATCTCAGCTGCTAAGAGGTTGTTTTCAAAGTAAACATTATCTTATTTGCAAATAAGTACATTTTTCATCACAAACAATATGACCTGAACACACAGCAAACTGAAAACTTCACTGAATTTTATCTATGCTCTTCCTCTACAATTACAGCTTCGACCTGAAAGTATTGCTATTATTGAGTTTTTAAAAGGATATTGAAGTAACTTCCACTTGTAGTTCTATCAGTTAAGATTCTCCTATTAAAACTACCTAGATCTTAACATATAGTTGACTATCAACACATATTTAAACAACTTTCTATAAAGCAAATGACACAATAACATCTAAGAACTGTGTGACCGTACCATGCGGTGCTGCAGTAACGAAGTCCTCCTCAGTTTATGCAATATCACTTGATACTTACTATTAAATAAATTAGAGCTTGGGTCTTCTGTGAAGTGGGAGTTTCTACATTTATAAAAAGTCACAAAGATGTATACAGTAACTATGTGGTTTAACAAGACTTTAATTCCTCAGTAAACAGGAATTGAGCCCTTGGGACTGTGGCTTTTGAAATTAGGGTGTGTTTAGGTTTGGAGACTGCCCAAATATCATTAACATTTAAGAAGGGAAAGCACTATGCCAGACATATGCAATCAGAAAAAAATATTACATTCTGAGGGAAGACTGTAAAACAAATGCTCCCATATGTTTCACAGTGAACAAATTGGAAAGCACTAGGAACTACTACACTGGTATTTAAATACCCAGCAAAAAATCCCAATCCAATCAATAGACCCTAAAAACTAAAAAATAAGCTAATGGCTATAAAGTATCGGAATGAGGCAAAATTATCCGCAATTACAACAAACCATGAAGCTGAGAAGCCAGGGTGGAGTCAAACATTCAGGGCTCTCTGGTACCACACATTGGTTACACTTGTTCATTGAACAAGACTGTTAAAACTAGTGAAGCTACTATCAAGGGAAGCAAGTGCAAGGTCTGATTCACTTATTAAAAATTGTATTTAAAGACACAGCTTCTGTTTACCACACATGTTTATCACAAGACACGTCCTCTGTTTACCAAACAGAGGATCCAGGATTAAAGTTCAGGTCTCCTTATGAAGCTCAATCCAAATAAACTGGGGTTGGATGGGTTTTTTTTGGTTTTGGGTTTTTTGTGTGCGTGTGTTTTTTTGTTTGGGGTTTTTTCTTTGTTTTTTTGTTTTCCTTTTTTTGCAGCCTTGTACCAAAGCAAATATAGTGATAAAGTTGCGTTGATCTGTCTTCTATTTAAAGCAAAGAAATATATTATTAGTAATTCAAATTTTTTGAAGCTTGCTTGAGATTAACACACTGTATTTTCGTCAATCAGGACAATATCTCCTATACATTTTCTGTAATTAGTGAACGTAATTACAAAAGCAACACAATGGCATTTAGTTATTTCAACAAATCACAAATTTGCAGGTAAACTATCATGCTAGAACTCTGAAGTATATTAGAGATGACATTAAGAAAGCATTTGAAAATATTCTATTAATACATTAGCCATATAGAGGAACTACTTTTTTAGGCCAAAAGAAAAAAGTCCTATGCAATATGAAAGGGAAATATGCAATCACTGATCATGAGGACAGTATGTCTTCCATACTTCCCAAAACACAGTCTCTCACAATCATGTATATGTAACATATGAAGTTACTTCAATTTTTTACATGCTCTGGAACATAAGGAATGGGTTATAGCAGTCCTGTGTAAAAGAGCAGATTAAAAATAAAGCAAAATAAAAGTAACACAAATCAAACCAGAAATGCTGTGGCAGTAGGATGAGAAGTGCTGATAGTATAAAGGTTTGGAGGTAGAATAAGTTTTCCCATTTGACCATTATCTTCCTAAGCAGTATCAAGGCAAGTTAATTTTTCAGGGATGAAATAAGAGAAGAAGCTCTGCCTAGTTTTTTCAGATTACTGTCTTTAATTTTGTTTAGCTTTTTTATTTTTCTATAAAGTAGACTAGAACTTACTGTCTCAGGCCCCAAAGTTATTATTTATGAGAAATTTCATAATCAATATAACATTCCAAAGTAGGCCATAAAAAACTAGAGTCTAAAACCCAGAAAGCCAAAGGTGTAAAAGTAATTAACAATTAACATGAGGGGAATAGAAAAATCTAATACAATAGTATACACTGGCCTTCAATGCCATTCTGTGGCTCACAGCTTTATATTTCAGATTTTTAGGTTATTTGGAGGATCAACAGAAAGCCTCATTGCTTTTCTGAAGATGCCTCACCAGACTTCTATGTATTCAGACATTGTGCTCAGAGGAGAGGGTAATGCTCACTGGCCTCAGCTGAAGGCAGAAACATGCTTCTGAGATCCACTTTTTTGAATTTCCTTTATCACTGGCTTTGTAAAGTTTTACAACATGCCCAAGTATATGCTGAATCCCTGATTTTGCATACCTAGTGGTCAAACACTCTCTGATGATAAGTACCAGATATTTATTAAGCCCCTGGCAGTTTATGCTACTTTTTATTACGTTAACTTAGAGCAAATATTTTCCTTTCAAAGAGTAAAATTATTTTGGAGGAATCACTGAAATAATAACAATTAAAAGCTACAGTTCCACAAATTGAAGGATTACTGTTTTTAAAACAACTTTTTTTTTCTTTTTTCTTTTTTTTTTCTTTTTTTTTTTAACAGCATTGCTATACTAGTGAATTTATTAAGTGAGGCCCAAGACCTGGAGTGCAAGCTCTGATACCTATTGGCCAAAGACTGCTCCATCCAAGATGAGGAAAAAAAAAAAAAGGAGCAAAATCAATTTATTTTTAGCAAATTAGAAGCTGATAAAAAGCGCATGCACTATGTAAAACACAAAATGGCAATTAATACAATTCAAATGTTTATTATTTTCATTGTTTTGGGGAAAATAAAGTAGCTTCAAAAGAGGACACATTCTACAAGCTTTCTGAATATTACTGATGCAAACCAAAGACCTCTTCACATGGACCTACAGTATTCCTACGTTATATAGACTTCCTTTGATTACTCACATTCTCATACAACGCTTGAAGGGTCTCTAGGTCAACCACAGAGTTGTCCAAGTTCACAACAGCTATAAAAAAGACAAAAGAGTTAGTCCTCAGGATGATAATTCAGCTGTGAAAGGAAGACTGAGCACAATACCCAGCAATGGTTCTTATGACCTACTGGTCATACAGCTTAAGGGTTTTAACTTTATTACTACCTTGAATAGTGCCATTCCTATGACTATGGGCTAGAAACCTGGTAGAGCCAGGTGTTGAGTGTTAAAGAATTCATCTCCCTCCCCCCAAACACACAAACATGATCCCATGAGTATGGCCATAGCCAGAGATCAGAGATAAGCTTTACATCAGACTTTCACGGTCCAACTGAAAGCATTATAAAAATTTGTAAATCTGCACCACAGACACACACACACACATCATACACTCACACAACAAAGCTAATTCCTGTCACTGGTTGGCTTCAGTCTTAAACTGATTAATCCATAAGTCAGCCAGTTAACTTCAAGACACCTGACAAGGGTCAAGTCTTCTATGCACTAAGCCGACAGGTTTAGTACAGATACAAAATACGCCTTTCCTGTTCCCAACCAGCTCTGGCGCCACACACATACTGTATTTTTTCAGCATCAAAAAGTCAGTTTAACAGCACAGAGAGAGTCATTTCCATCTACCTAACCTGGTCAAAAAACCAAAAATAATTAAGAGTGGCATGCTTACGAACACAACCCTGGTTCCTCACTTACATTAGGATCATTTCATGAGACATAGGAAATGTCTGTGCAAATTAGTGAAAAATTATTCTCAGGTAATACAAAGAATTCTTCTTAAAACAGTAGTTTTCAGCCTTCCTCTTATACACTTTTTGCCAGCAGACTGTCCATTCATTTAAAAGCCAGATAAATCAAAACTTCCCTTATCCAGATTTTAAATCTTGAAAGAAATGTAGAATGTTGCATTAGAATGTATGTGATAGTAATAACTTATTCTTATCACATTGTAACAGGATTTTTCCCATTTTGCCCTTCATTAATTTGTATCTTTTTTTGTAATGGGCCCTGTGTGTGTGCGCTAGCCCACTCCTCTAATAAAGCAGAATAAACCCCTAGTTGAAACATTGATCAGTGATAGAAACTCAATTAATTTATGTCTTATAAGCCCATGTCAAAGAGAAATTCTGTGTATACACCTAAAGACTACAAACAATATAATTCAAGCACATTTGTTTCCGATTGCTCTAAAGCATTTAGAGATACCACTCTGAGTCTGGGACTCATCATCTTTCCACTTTCCAGACCTGAGACATAGTTTAAGCTACAGCAGAAGAAAATTATAAACAAAGAAGTGTTGATCTTGATTATACTAAGCAGGCTACACTGCATCTCTAAGCAAGGGATGAATCGAAATTTTAGGACAGAAACAAAAAAAGAGGGAATTATTTAATTTTTAGAAATAATATTATTCCCCCCCCCCCCATTTTTCCCTCGAGAGAAAGCAAGAAAATCTGTAAGATAATGCTAATTTAACAGTTCAGGAAGGAACTATTTTTTAATTTGTTTTGGGGGAGGGTGTGCATGCAAAAATCTGCTATTAATTATTTGGGGTATTTTAAAGCTCTTTTTTTTTTCCCGAGTGTAATAATTGTTGCAACAGACACTTAGAGATGCCCTCTCAACAAGTTATTATAGTATATGTTGTATTTTATAATCCCTGTTGCTCAATAGGACTATCTGGATTCCTAAAAATATGCCAAATTTGCCTTGCAGAATAGGAGACTAAAATTAACATGCTAATAGGAACTGGGTCTAGATTGGTTTGAGAGCTCTGCTTTAAGCAAACACGTGTCAAAGCCTATATACAATGAACTTTATTAAAACCAGGATATATTGTGAAACTCTGTATTATCCCTACATTTCAGCATTCTTATACTTATGCAATGTTTTAATATATGAACACATTCACAACCTTTCAACCATTTATTTTGAGTTGTGGCTGTCTTCTCCCTGTTCCATCCAGAGACTATCTACTCCTGCACTAAGAAATATGACAGAGGTCGCTGCTCTGACTTTTGCTCAATGTTAAGATTACCCACGGATTACTCGGGGAGCAATGGAAAACTTTTGTTTGAATGCCTTCAGGAGATAAGAGAACGTCTGGCAAACACAATGGTGCCAGGTCTGTGTACTTTCAACAAAACAAAAGTATGCAGAAGAGTGTACATACTACAGGGAGCTGCTTAAAACAAATCAGTCTGAGACAAGGACTTGGAGAAATTAGATCCTAGTATGTATGTTTCAAATCTCCTCCTCCCAAAACAAGCATATTTCTGTATCCTCTATCTAAAGGTAACTATGTTCATATATGGAGCTCCAGCATCTTGCTAGCATTTTTTGATGTTCACCATAGCTTTGCACCCCCTACTCCAAGGAATCAGGAGGTGTGCTTCTGTTCCTTAGTGGTACTGCAGCATTGTCTTGCAAAACATGATAGCTGGCAAAATAAATCATGACTGCTGCCTATTTTATTCCATTATCTAGACAATTTGAACTTTCAAAACTGTAGCCAAGCTCACTAGCTAAACATGACCCCTACCTACAATCAGCATGACTCCACAAATATCTAACCAAAGGATTTCCTATGTGGTGGCAAACTAATGATGAAAAATACAAATAAAAATTTGTTTAATCCTATAGAAATATTGTGAGCTATGCTGCATTTCCAATATACTTGGATGCAAAGATCTGGAGATAGGTTTATAACAGTCTTGCAGTTGCTGGACATTTTCAACCATGTCACTATTTTAGAAAGTTGTGGTTTTTTTGTTTCAGAGTTGACATTGTCACTTTGTGGTCTTGACTGCTATGAAGCACTTTTTAATAGCCAGCACATCATCTACTCTTTTTGGTACATTCATAAGACAGCCATGAATAATATCTGTTGGCTTTTTACTCTAGTACAAAAAACTTTATTTTAATTACACCAGACTCAGGCATTTAGTTCTTACCTTCAAGATTTGACAGTTCTCCTGTTTTCTTGCATTTCTATTGCCACTTCTGCCAATAAAACCAACAAACCAACAACAGTTTCAAGCCCTAATACTGTAAAATACAGTATTTACACCTGGAATACTGTGTCTAGTTCTGGAGTCCCCAGCACAGAACAACACAGACCTGCTAGAGCGAGTGCAGAGGAGGGCCATTAAGATGATCAGGTGGCTGGAGCACCTCTCCTACAAAAACAGGCTTGAGAGAGTTGGGGTTGTTCAGCCTGGAGGACAGAAGGCACCCAGAAGACTTTAGAGAAGTCTTCTAGTATCTCAGGGGGCCTACAGAAAAGCTGGGGAGCGACATTTTACAAGGGCATGGAGTGACAGGACAAGGGGTAATGGCTTTTAACTGAAAGAGAGTAGATTTAGGTTAGACATTAGGAAGACATTCTTGTCTGTGAGGGTGGTGAGACACTGCAATATGTTGCCCAGGGAAGCTGTGGATGTGGGCCCCTGCCTGGAAGGGTTCAAGGGCAGGTTGGATGGGACTTTGAGCAACCCAGTCTAGTGGGAGGTATCCCCGTCCATGGCAGAGGTTTGAAACTAGATGATCTTTAAGGTCTCTTCTAACCCAAATCATTCAGTGATTCTAAAATTACTCAATATGCATATATATAATTGTATGTACATACACACATATATAGATATTATTAAACCTGAACCAAGTAGGTCCAGATAAACACACAAATATGCACAGATAAAAATTAAAGGAACTACAAAACAATTATTTGTTTTTTTTTTCTTCTTTTCTTTTTCTTTTTTCTTTTTTTTTTTTTTTTTTAAAGCAAGCCCTGGTCAACAGATGATTATAGAAAGCCCACCTAGTAAAAAGAGGGGTTAGAGAGCAATTGCAAAGGGTTGCTTCACACTAAGAGGAGAAAGAGATTTTAGAGGATTTGTAGCCAAAATAAAGGTGTCAGGAATTTCTTGTCAGTATCTTCCCTGATATTCTCATTGCTTTTGTCACAATCTACACAAATTTAAACTTATTTTTGGGACAGAAAGTATATCTTTCTTATGCAACTGCAGAATAAAGAAGTCGTAGAGGAATGGAAGAGTTTCCATTCCATTTTGTATTTCTACAATATAAATTAGAATTAAAAAAAACCAACGCAAAGCCACAATAACAAAACCAACTTAGGTACTAGTTTCAAATTGGAAGGACAATAAAATACCTGCAAAGAGACAAAGACTTACTATTCTTAGTAATATAAATTAATTTTCAAGGCTCACCAGGCACCTTGTAAGATACTTCACCTGACAGGAGGATAATATTGTTGCTAAAAAAAAAAATGAGATTAGTGTAAAGCACAACCATATTTAGAGGCACACTTGAACTCTGAGGACAGACCTCTTCCTGTGTGCATAAAAGCTCATTAGAACACAGACACAATAGAAAAAAACAACAACAACAACAAAAAAAACCAAACAACCCCCCCAAAAAAAACCACACACAAAAATAAACTAAATACAAAGAATAATCACAACCTACATATCTTCAAGGGAACACAGTAGTTATCAAACCACCAACAAGGTCAAAGTTTTTGCCAGCAAATATTATCCTGAAGAAGAAATGCATAGGAAAAAAGAATTTGTAGGATGCACAGTGTATTCTCAGGAAGACTATAAAATGAAGTAACTGTAATTTATTCTTTTTTAACTTGTAAGACAGATAATTACTATTGATTATTCATATATCTAAGAACACAGGGTCTACTAGCTACCACTAAAATAAAATTAATAAGTGATATAGACACAGCAAACTTAGGCTTGCCTGAGGCTATGAATCTAAATCCAACAATACCACTTATGTAAAATTCTTAGAGAAAAGACAACTTCCTAAAGCTGCACAGTCTGGGAAACTAACGCTATATACAAGTCCAAAACCTGGATTTCAATTTTAAAAAGCCAAAATTCAAAATTTCCCACTTGGTAGATTTTAGGAAGAAGAAAAAGAATTATCAAACTGATCCATTGTATCCACTTTTGTAGAATCATAGAATGGTTTGGATTGGAAGAGAC